GAAATCTAGGAAAATATGGGACATGGGGGGAAGACGAAAATCCAGAGAGTATGAAAAATAGGGGGAATCCTGGGACGTGCGTCTATTTGTTGATGTGTCCCAGGGCCCCTTCAATGGAGTGAGCATAAAAACGTTCAGAGCTCCGCGCGGGTCTGCATCGGCGGTGGGCCCCGTGGCGTCGCCTTCGGGGCCGTTTCGGGCGAGCTCCGCGCGCCAGGGAGAGGATCGGGCCGAGCGAAAGGGGAGGGTAGGGAGCTGATTCTCAAACCCCCCCCCTTTGCAATCCTGGATCCCCCCTTTCGCATGACCCAAGAGGAGTCCACCGCCGATCCAAGAAATCCGCGCGGACTCTGAGAAGTCATGTTTGGGCAGTTGTTCGTGCCTCTATGAGGGTGGCGTTGCTTGTGACGGACAAACAAACAACAATCTGCGATTACATGCAAACCCTGCCCCCGCCGGTTCAATCGAAGATATGCGATAGTGTCGGACACCCCGGCTGGGGTTCGCTTGGCTGCAGGCGTCCGTGGAATTGTGACCCCCGCCAGTGCTCCAGAATTCTGACATGCGAGGCTGGGGCTCTGCGTTCACATGCGCTTGCTTCCTCAGGAGCCCACGCCAGCGCCGAGCAGGAAGAGGCGGCGCCAGTCTGGTGCCAGCTGGCCGCCCCGGCCATCCCGGGCGCGTCCCGCTCCGCGACGAAGCTGAGCGAACCAGCGAGCGAGGCACACAAGACGTCAAAGGAGGCGACAGCCTCAGGCAGGGGCGGCCAGTGGGACAGCTTGGCGGCGCGCACCAGGCGTGGGGGCGCGGGGGGGCGGCCTATGTAAAAGTCTGGGGGGCGTGTATGTCGGGGGCGGCAAAGAGGGGGGTGATGACCAGGGGGGGGATATCATGGCGTGGGCCATGATACCTCCTCAGATTTCATGGCGCCTCTTCTTATGTCATTACGCTCCTGGCCCTCCCCTTGGGCCGCGCACATGCTGCTGGCCATGATTTGCGCCCCCCCTCTTGGACGCCCATCTCTTGGCCGACCCCGAGTAAGAAGGCATAAGTTTCTGAAGGCAACGAGCTCACTGAAGGCACACATCTCTTTCCCCTGAGGAGCTCACCGGAGGCAGACAGGTCTGCCTTCGGCAGTTTGTGTTGCCTTCAGTGAGCTCGTTGTCTTCGGTGAAAAGTGAAAAGTGCTTGCCCTCGGGGGGCCCTCTGACGCGAGAGAGCTTAAGCGCCAGTTGGGCTTCTCACGAGTCCACGGGCCGTCGCTGACACATACGCTTACCATTGCCTGCTGAGAAAAACATCGTGCGCCCGTCATCCACAGGGGGGCCCTCTCAGAAGCCCTTCTGACTTGGCAGCCTCTTGGGCCACTCTGAGAAGGCATCTGCCATCCGAGAATCAGGAGGGGAAAGCACACAGACACAAGTAGTCGTCGACTTCCCAGAAAATATTGGAAATCATGAGAAGTGGGAGGGGAGGACGAAAACCCCCAACATACCTATACGACCACCTTGCGGGTGATAAGGAGGTTGGGGGGGGGAGGGGCCCAGCAATGGGCAACAGTGGATATTTTTGCGTTGCTGCTCGCTCTTGGGAGCCATCTCACAATGGACCCCACCATCGATTTCACAGTCGATCTCCCCCTATCGATCACACGATCGATCAATAGGTCTCACTATCGATCCCAATCGATAGATATCACGATCGATCTCTCTATCGCTCGAGACTCTCACAGGCGATGTCGTTATCGTCGATCTCACTATCGATCTCACTATCCATATCACGATCGATCTCACTACATATCGCTCTATCGATCTCTCACTATGGATCCCGTTCTATCGATGTCACAATCGATCTCACTATCGATCTGACAATCGATCTCACGATTGATCTCACAATCGATCTCACTATCGATCCCAGTATCGATCTCACTCGATCGTATCATAATCGTTCATCATCAACATCAGCATCATCACCTCATCATCCTCCTTATCAACATCATCATCACCATCAGTATCATCGGGGCACCATCATCATCACAATCATCAACAACATCACCATCGGGACACCATCATCATCATCACCATCATCACCATCATCACCATCATCATCATCATCATCAACAGCATCAGCTTCAACCCCATCATCATCATCATAATCATCATCAGGACACCATCATCATCATCATCATCATCATCGTCGTCATCATCATCATCATCATCATCTCATCATTCTCATTCACATCATCATGATCACCATCATCATCATCATCATCAGAATCATCATCATCAACATCATCATCATCATCATCATCATCATCATCGGGACACCACCATCATCATCAGCATCATCATCATCACCACCACAATCATCATCATCACCATTATCATCATCATCATCATCATCATCATCATCATCATCATCGTCATCACCATTATCATCATCGGGACACCGACGGGACACCGGCGGGACACCGCACGCCACTGGACGCCGGTCTGGAATCATTTGGTCCGGCCGCGCCTCAGCCGGAGGCGGGACACCCGCCGGACACCTCGGGCCACCGGATGCGGGTCCAGAATCATTTGGTCCGGCCGCGCCTCAGCCGGAGGCGGGACACCGGCGGGACACCGCGCGCCACTGGACGCCAGTCAGGAATCATTTGGTCCGGCCGCGCCTCAGCCACAGGAGATTTTCTTCTCGCCCGCCCACGCAGCTTCGCCTCGCCCGCACGCACGGCACGCACGAACACGAAACCGAAGTCTATTTCCCGGTAGGGGGTCTCTCCGTCCCATATCGATCTCACCCCCAACCTCCGATCACGATCGATCTCATTACAGATCGCACTATCGATCTCTCACGACCGATTCCATTCTATCGATGTCACGATCGATCTCACTATCGATCTCACAATCGATCTCACGACCGATCTTACAATCTCACCATCATCATCATGATCATCATCATCGGGACTCCATCATCATCATCAACAACAACAGCATCATCATCATCTTCATGGACCTGATCATCAGCAACATCCTCATAATCAACATCATCAACATCATCATCATCATCATCATCATCATCATCATCGGGACACCATCATCATCACCACCATCATCATCATCAGCATCATCATCATCATTATCAGCATCATCATCATCATCATTATCATCGTCAACATCAACATCATCATCACCATGATCATCATCATCATCATCATCATCATCATCATCATCATCATCATCATCATCATCATCATCATCATCGGGACCCCGACGGGACACCGGCGGGACACCGCACGCCACCGGCCCCCGGTCAGGAATCATTTGGTCCTGCCGCGCCTCAGCTGGAGGCGGGACACCGGCGGGACACTGCGCGCCACCGGCCCCCGGTCAGGAATCATTTGGTCCGGCCGCGCCTCAGCCTAGGAGACTTTCTTCTCGCCCGCCCATGCAGCTTCGCCTCGCCCGCACGCACGGCACGCACGAACACGAAACCGAAACCGATGTTCCGGTAGGGGGTCTCTCCGTTCCTTTTCGATCTCACCCCCCAACCTCCGATTTGAAAATGCGGGGATCCTGGGATTTGTATTTATGTGTGTGTCTGTTTGTGTGTAGGGGCGTGTGTGAGTGAGTGAGTGAGTGAGTGAGTGAGAGTGAGTGAGAGTGAGTGTGTGTGTGTGTGTGAGTGTGTGTGAGTGTGTTTGTGTGTGTGTGTGTGTGTGTGTGTGTGTGTGTGTGTGTGTGTGTGTGTGTGTGTGTGTGTGTGTGTGTGTGTGTGTGTGTGTGTGTGTGTCGCAGGGCCCCTTCAGAACAGCCCGCCGCCCTCCCTGCCGAGGCCGCCCCTCCTCGCCCCGCCCCCTCCCGGTGCGCGCCGCCGACCGGCGCCGGCACCTCCACGGTGGGGCGCTGCTCGCGTCGGGAGCCCGACGAGTGCGGGTCCGACGGCGGGCTGGCGCCTGATCTGCAGGGCGTGAACGACGAGGAGGACATCGGCGGCGAAGTCCGAGCTCGAGCCTCGCCGATCGACGGTTCGGGCAGCTCGATGGGTGGCGGGGGTAGGGTTCCGAGTGTGTCGAGCGCGCGGCGGAGTCCGAAGCCTACCCCGCCTCCCATCGATTCGGTAGAATCGGGGATGGGTGGGGTAGGGTTCGGATGACGTAGGAGAAGAACACGAGCCTGCACAGCGTGTGCAAGGTCTACCAGGCCGCGGCCGACTTCGGCCCCGTGGAGGCCGCCCGCCCTAAGGCCCTCGACTTCGTCAGCCTGCTGCGCAAGCACGACGTCTCGCTCGTGGTGCGCACGAACAACAGCGATGAGCAGGGCCTCTCCGAGATCGGGGGCAGCTACGACCCCGCGGCCCTCCGGCAGCATGGCATTGTCCACCTGGAGTGCTTTGTGAAGGACGTTGGCGGTGGCATACCCCCGCCCCGCCTCATCCTGTCCTTCCTGCAGGAGGCAGACCGGGTCGCGCCGGCAAAGAGGGGCGGCGCCGAGTTGCCTCGCGGCCATGCGGAGGCCGTGCCCGCCGTCGTGATCCACTGCAAGAGCGGGTTCGGCCGAAGCGTGCTTTTTGCCTGCCTGCTGGTCATCCACCGGTACGACGTGTCGGGTCGCGCTCTGCTCGGCTGGGCCCGGCTAGTGCGGCCTGGCGCGTTCACGGTGCCAGAGCAGGAGCGCTTCCTCTGCAGCTTCCGTGGCCGCGAGGACTTGCACCGCCACGTCGGGCTGGTCGCCTCTGCGCCCTGCTGCAGCGTTCAGTGAGCAATCATTGCCGCCGTGCTGCGTGCCAGCAGGCACTCGACTTGTCGCTGCAGCATTCGGACGCTGAAGTACTGGGGCCATCGCTGCGGTGTGTACTTGGCTTGTCGTTGCAGTGTTTCCCTGAACTGAGCGCACAATCTTCGGCCTGGTGAGGCGTAGTCCAACTTGCCGTGTGAAGAGGAGGACCAGGGAGGGGGGAGGAGCGTTTGTATGTCTGTGTGTGTGGCATCAGCGATGGTGGTCGAGGGAGCCCGCCTCCCTCTCCCTACTAACTATGCCGCTCCGACCTCCGACCTCACCTCGAATCTCCTGTCTAACTCTTTCCCGCCCCATCCGCCCCTCGAGCTTGACCTCTTCCGCCCTCCAGCCTCTGGGCAAGGGAGCCCTCAAAGCACTCCCAGATCTTGCCAGGCCAGGCGAGACTCTGGGCCTGTGTTCCTGCCCTCCGGTCTTGGCCTCCAGAACGTGTGCACCAATCTGGGGGCGCAGCCTGATGCTGGTGTACGAGCTGCGTTCTCGTCATCAGCCGCCCTCGAAGAAGAACAGCACAATTGCATAAGCATGATTTTTCTGAGGTGCGCGGATGGCAGATGTCTTGGGTCGGCGCCGCCTTTGGGGCGCGCGTCCAAGAAATCCGCGCGGACCTAGGATATTTTGTGTTCATGGTGCCTCTCTTCCTCCGTCAACCTTCCCAGCCGTCCGCGGACGCACCCCGCAGGATCGGGGCGGCAATGGCTGCTGCTGTGGGTTTCCCTCCGTTCTGAACGTCGCCGCCCTGCAATGCCCGTCGGTCGGCCCCTCGATCTCTGCCGCCCGCCCCCCAAGGCGTCAACCTCCTACCTGGCCTCCGCGCCGCTCCAGAGTTCTTCGGGCCCTGCGCCTGCGCTCTGCACCGAGGGGCACCATGGCTTTTCGGGACATCCTGGGGGCATGCAAAGACGCCCGTCCAGGGGCTTCCGGGGAATGCTTACCAGAGAGCCCTGCCCTGCTCGATCCCTTCCTCGTGCTCGTTCACTAGAGAGCTTCGTCTGTCGGGGGGCTCATTGCCAGGGTAGCCGCGCCCGATTCTGCTACATCTCTCACACGCTTCGTGGCCCCATAGGGAGTTCCGCCGAAGGCCAACGCTCGCACGCGGCCACCGCGCTCATTCTGGTACACCCCTCACGCGTTTCGTAGCCCAAAAGAGAGGCCCACCGAAGGCCCTGATGCTGGCGCTCGCACGCGGCCACCGCGCCCATTTTGGCACACCTTTCACACGTTTGGTGGCCCCACAGGGAGCTCCACCGAAGGTTCAAAATACAAGCGCTCGCATGCGCTCAGCATCACCCATTTGGGCATACCCCTTACACGTGCCGTGGCCTTATAGGGAGCTCCACCGGGGGCCCAGCTGCCAGCGCTCGCATGCGCCCACCTGGCCCACTTTGGCACACCCCTCACACGCTTCGTGGCACCATAGCGAGCCCCACCGAAGGCCCAATTGCCAGCGATCGCGCGCCCACCGCGCTCATTGTGTCACACGCCTGACACGTTTTGTGACCCCGTAGGAAGTTCCACCGAAGGCCCAGATGCCAGCGCTCGCACGCACCCATTGCATTGATTGTTTGGTACACCCATCACACGTTTCGTGGCCCCATATAGAGCTCCCCCGAAGGCCCAGATGTCAGAGCTCGCATGCGCCCACTGAACCAATTTTTGCACAGCCCTCACACGCTTCGTGGCCCCAGAGGGAGCTCCACCGAAGGCCCAAATGCCACCGCTCGCGTGCGGCCACCATCACCCATTTTGGCACACCCCTCACACGCTTCGTGGCCCCATAGGGGGTCCCACCGAAGGCCCAACTGCCAGCGCCCGCATGCGCCCACCGAGCCCGTTTTGGGACACCCTTCGCACGTTTCGTGGTCCCACAGGGAGCTCCACCGAATGCGGTGCATTCAACGACGGTGCCCACACCTGCATATGGTTGGGTCCTTCGCCAGGCCAATGTTTGAATTTCTTGTAGGGAGCTCTACCGGAGGCGCCAGTGGCATGGTTCGCATGCTGCCCCCATCCACTTTGGCACCCTTTAAAACGTTTCGTGGCCCATTTGGAACTACACCGAAGACCCTAGTGGCATGGTTCGCATGCGGACGGAGCTCCACCGAAGGCCTCATTGGCATGGTTAACATGCACGTTACGTGGCTCCATTGGAAGCTCCACCGAAGGCCCCATGGGCTTGGTTCGCATGCCGCCCCCCTCCACTTTGGCACACCCTTCACACATTTGGTGGCCTCATAGGGAGCTCCACCGAAGGCTCCATTGGCATGGTTCGCATGCGTTTCCCGCACTGAATACAACGTTTTGTGGCTCCATGGGGGGCTTCAGCTAATGCCCCAGTGGCGGTATCCGCATGCGTTTCCCCCACCCAGTACAGCGCTGCGTGGCTCCATGGGGAGCTCCACCAGTGGCGGTGCCCGCATTCGTTTCCCCCAACCAGTACAGCGTTCCGTGGTTTCATAGGGAGCTCCGCCGAAGGCTCCGGTGGCGTTGTCTACTTGCGTTTCCCCCATCCAGTACAGCGCTTCGTGGCCACATAGGGATCTCCACCGAAGGCCCCAGCGGCGGTGTCCGCGTGCGCTTCTCGCACTCAGCACAGCGAGTCGTGGCCCCATGGGGAGCTCCACAGAAAGCCCCAGTGGCGTGTCCGCGTGCGTTTCCCCCATCCATTACAGCGCTGCGCGGCCCCATACCGAGCTCCACCGAAAGCCCCAGTGGCGGTGTCCGAATGCGTTTTTCCTCCACCCCGTACAACTTTTCGCGGCCCCATAAGGAGCTCCTCCGAAGGTCCCAGTGGATGGGTTCGCATGCGTCTCCCCCATCCAGTACAGCGCGTCGTGGCCCCATAGGGAGCTCCACCGAAGGCCTCAGTGGCGGTGTTCGCATGCATCCCTTCCACTCAGTACTGCGCTTCGTTGCCCCAAAGGGAGCTCCGCCGAAGGCCACGGTGGCGACGTTCGCATGGCGGCCCGCTCCATTTCGGCACACCCCTCACACGTTTTGCGGCCCCACATGGAGCGCTACTGGAGCCCACCTTATTTCGGCATACTTTTTTCACGTTTCGTGGCCCCATGAAAAGATCCACACGCTGCGATACCACAACGACGACACTCACAACTGCATGTGGTTTGACCCTTCGCCAGGAGAATGTACGATGTTGATGATTGCTGACACTTTTGCTTCATGACGCGGAGGCTTCAGTACACGCGTGTTTCACGATGGGGAGGCTCGATGGGGAGGTTGTGGTACGCTCGTGCTCCACGACGGATGGGCTTGAGGACATTCTTTCGTTACGACGGCGAGGCTTGCAGGCACTCTTGCTGCAGTGCGGGGAGGTTTGACACTCTTGCTTCGCGACGGGGGAGGCTCGAGGTCACTCCTAAAGTACGAAAGGGGGGCTTTGGGACATCCTTGGTCTACGACGGCGAGGCAACGGGGGGGCTTTGGGCCACTCTTGCCGAACGGTGGCGTGGCTCGATGACACTCAGAAAATGATAGGCGGGCTCTTTGGGGCACTCCTGCTGCACACATGGGGAGTCTTTGGGACACTCGTGCTTTACGACGGGGAGACTTTGGTGGCGATTGACGGTGGCGGGGGTGACATGGAGGAGGAGGATCAGGGATCTCTTTCGGGGAGGCTGCGCCGAGGAAGATGAGGAGAAGGAGGGATAGACGGGGAGAGATAGAGCAGGGAACATGATTATGTGGGCGAGGAGGAGGACGAGAAGGGGACTGACGTAGACGGATGATGATGACGACGACGGTGAATATGATTGCGATGATGATGATGATGATGATGATGATGATGATGATGATGATGATGATGCTGATGTTGATGATGATGATGATGATGTTGATGCTGATGCTCATGCTGATCATGATGCTGCTGCTGGTGCTGGTGCTGATGCTGATGATGATGATGATGATGATGATGATGATGATGATGATGATGATGATGAGAACGATGACGACGACGATGGTGATTATAGCCACAACCTCAGCGCGCGAAACGCCAAGAGCTGACGCCTAAGCAGCAGTCTGGTGCGAATTTCCCAGTAAAGTGCAGCGGTCACACATCCCGCCGAGCGTAGCTCGACGCCAGGGGTTGAACGACACACACACACACACACACACACACACACGCACACACACACGCACACGCACACCCACACCCACACACACACACACACACGAACTCTCTTCAGACATGCACACACATATATATATATATATATATATATATAGGGATATATCTATATATATATATATATACACAGATATAATTATATTCGGCCCATCCCGCCACTCTGCCTGGCTTGCGGGTCAGAGTATTCAGGGATATTCCGTCTGGTCTCTTCTAAACGCTCTCGGGGGGCCCTCGGGAGGAGTTTTCGGGCCTCTCCAGGGTCTCTTAGGGGCCTCCTGGGAGCCTCTGGGAGGCCTCTTGTGGCCTCTTGGGGCCTCTCTTGCAACTCTCGGGGACGCATTCCAGCCTTGCGGGGGCCTCTTGGAGTTCTCTCGGGGCCTCCTGGGAGCCTCTTGGGGCTTCCTGGGGGGCTCTTGAGGCGGAAAGCTAGATTGTTCCTTCCGCGTTCCCATTATTGGGCCCATCTTGGGGCCGTTTTTGGGCCCTCTTGGGCCGTCGTGGGCGCTTCTTGGAGCCCTCTTGGGCCGTCTTAGGGCCGTCCTGGGGCCCTCATCCTGTTGAACTCTTTTGGGACGTTTCGAGAACCTCTTGGGCCGTCTTGAGGCTCTCTTGGGCGGCTCGGAGACTTCTTGGCCTGTCCAGGGGGCTTCTCGCCCGTTTTGGGGCCTTGTTGCGTTGGGCCACCGTCCCAGAGGCCCACGCGACAAACCCCGACACCGCGCAGGAGCGCTCAAGAGCGCCCGGGAGCGCCTGAGAAACCGGGGGTCCAGGCCCAGAAGAACCTTAGAACCCACCTGCCTCTCAGGGCTGCGTAAGCCTTGGTGCACTCCACTACGTGCTGAAGGCACGGTGGCGGATATGTGTACATGTATCCATGTCCATGCCGATACCCATGTTCATCGCCTGCCAGGGAGGAACGGCACACCTCCAAATGGACGTGCCTCCACGTCGCAGGATGTGCGATTCTCCTCCCATGTCCATGTACATTTCCAGGCAAAGGTCACGGCGACGACGGCGACGACGACGACGACGACGACGACGTCCAGGTCCAGGCCAAGGGCACGGCGGTTCTCCACCCTGTCCCCGACAACGCTCGGTCTGCGGCGCACGCTTGTGCGCGCCTGCATCTCGAGCACGTTTGCGTCCCTAGCACGTTGGAATTCGAGTGGCAGGGCGGGTGCGGGCCGCCCCTGTATTGGAGCTACGGCGGGAGGCCACGCTGCCCCGTGACCCCCGTGCTGCTGCTGCCTCTTCTCCTCTTGTCGCTGTTGCTGATGGCATCGAAGTCGGTCACGACGTTGCCGCCTCCTCCTCCTCCCCCCTCCACCCCTTCGACGTCGCGGGCGTTTGGGCCACTGGATCTCGGGGGCGTGCTAGTGGCCAAGGGGCCGCTGTGCTATCTATCTTAATGATGAGGCGTCCCACCAAAAAGTGCCAGCACATTACAAAAGAGCAGCAGGCTGGTGTGTAAGAGTGCCCCGTCGTGTGGGCCCATGTCACGAAAGACCCCACTCGTAGACCAGGAAATGACACAGGAAGTAACCCCCTCGATGGCAACGGCCGCGGACGGCGGCGGTGACAGCAAAAATGGTTGGCGGCGCCGACGGCGACCGACGACATCGTCGCGGCAGAGCTCCGGAAACTGTTGCCTTGGTGCAGTTTTACCTTCCTCTGTCGTCACCGTGGTGCTGTCGCTCGCCCAGCTCCATCCCACGAGCGGCGAGCAGGTCTGCATCCGCCGCCTTCGGAGCAGAAGAAGCGGAACAGACACATACCTGTCGGAGTTCCGCGCGGATTCCTCGGATCGAGGTGAAGGGTGGCGGAGTATTATGCACCACCATGAAGCAGCGATTTTCGACACCACCATTCTCCCTTGAAGGCACAGGGAAACTCGTCGGCGTTTGTTTGTGTGTACGCTTCCTCCTTCCATAGTTTTATCGAAGACGCCTATGGCGAATCACCGCCGCCCCCTGCCTTTTTGGAAGCGCCTATGTGGCCGAACGTTGAGGCCAGACCTGCCAAGCTATCGGTCCATGTGCTCCCCGAATCGGTTTGGAAAGCCTTCGGGGAACACGTGGGCATCTTGAAGGTCCAGCTTGGCCGCCTGGAGGCCATTTTGACCCTTTGGGGCCTTCTTGGAGGATGTCTTGGAGGGCTCTTGGGCCATCTTGGAGGCCATCTTGAGCGTCTTGGAGACCTCTTGGGCCGTCTTCGGGTCCTCTTGGGGCCGTCTTGGGTCTCTTGGGCGATCGTTGGTGCAACATGTGGCAATTATGCAATCATTGGGTACATTGGGTACGTTGCATTATCGCCTCCGCAGAAAACTCTGCAGGGTGCTTCAGAGCACGTTCAGTCCAGTCGTTGTGGGGCCTCCTGGGAGTCTCTTGGGAGCTTCTTGGAAGCTTATTATGGGTTTTTTTTGAACCTCTGGGGGGCCTTTTTGGAGCCTCTTGGGGCTTCTTGGGGACGTGTTGGGCCGTCTTTGGGCGTTCTTACGCCGTCTGGCCACTTCGGAGGCCACTTTGGAAGCCTCTCGCGGCCGCCTAGGGGCTCTCTTGGGGTCCTCTGGGGCCGTATTGGGTCTTTTTGGGCCGTTTTGAGGGTTTTTGTTGGCCGTCTCGGGGCCCTCTTGGGCCGTGTTGGGGCCCCCTTGGAGGCCTCTTGGGCCGTTTGGGGGCTCTTTTGGAGGCTGCTTGGGCCGTCATGGCCTTCTGAGAGCCGAAGAAGGCGAAAACGTTGCAATTGTCCCAAAACTATAGGAGAGTCAAAGATTTTGGCCTCCGGAGGCGCTCTCGGGAGTCTTCTTGGGGGCCTCTTGGACTTTCACGGGGGCCTCATGGGCCCTCTTGGGGCCATCTTGGGCCGCCTTGAGGCCGTCTTGGGCTGTCTTGGGGCCATCTTGGGCCGTCTTGAAACTTTCTTGGAGCCCCAAGAGGCCCAAGAGGCCGAATTTGTTGATTTCTCATAGGTTTCTGATGTTTTTGAAACCCAGAAAGGGGTCCGCCACCTTTGGGTCGACGGAAGTGGCGTGGCCCCTGGGGGGGGGGTTCGGGGGGGAGACATAATAATGTAACACAATACAACACGTTGCAATTATGCAATCATTGGACACATTGGATACGTTGCAGTATCGCCTCCGCAGAAAACGCTGACGCTCAGCACGTCACCTCCGGACGTGGATTCTACAGGCTTGCGCCACATCCGCCGACCCCTTCTGTGAGTGTTGCGAGGCCAGGAGTTTCTGGCCAGCGGCGTCTTGTGTGTGGGGGTGCGGTGTCGCGCGCGGGTGGTGGCAGATACGCAGGGGGTCCAAATGTTTGCGTGATGGCGGTGGTCTGGGGCGTGCTTTGCTAGCGCCTTGCGTGTTGTGCGCCGGGGTGCGGGGTGTCCTTCTGGGAGGTCGGCCTTTCGACCCGCAACCAAGTGGAGGACCACCGGAAAACGAAAGGGGCAAGAGTAGTGTGCGGAAGCTCTGATCAGCGAGGCACCACCGCGAACGATGTGGCAGATGAATCGAAACGGGTGAAGAGGCTGTTGACGTTCGCGGCGCGCACGAAACAGTTCGCGCGGCAGCAGCACATTAGCGCCGAGCAAGATAGTGAACACGTCGCGAGGAAGAGCAAGGCTGCATGCGCGGAGTGCATTGCAGTTGGCTTGACGGCTTGCAAGACGGAGGCGTCTGGGGGTCTTTTGGGGGCCTCCTGGGGGCCTCTTGGGGGCTCCTTGGGGCGTCTTGGCCGCCACTTGGAGGCCTCTGGCGGCCTCTTGGAGCACTCTTGGGGCCCCCTGGGGCTCGTGGGGGCGGAAAGCTAGATTTTTGAATTTTTGTTTGCCCTCTTGGGCCCCTCCTTGGTGCCGTTTTGGAGCCTTCTTGGGCCGTCTTGGGGACCTCTTGGGCCGTCTTGGGGCCGTTCTGGGCCGTCGTGGGACCGTCTTGGGGGCCTCTTTGGCCGTCTTGGGGCGGTCTTCGGGGCCTCTTGGGCCGTCATGGAGCGTCGGAAAGCCCACAAGGCGAATTTGTGAAACAATATTTGTTTTTTTTTCCGAAGGAAATGAGCACATTGTTGCGTCTAGGGGCCCTTTTGGGGCGCATCTTGGAGGCCTCTTGGGGGCGTCTTGGGCCATCTGGAGGCCATCTCGGGTGTCGCCGATCGCTTTTGGACCGTGTGGGGCCAGGTTGAGCTCTCCTGGAAGCCACTTGGAACGCTCCTGGAGCGCTCTTGGGGCCGTCTTCGGGGTTTTCTTGGGCCGTCTCCGGCGCCTCTTGAGCCGTCTTGGCGCCCTCTTGGGCTGTCTTGGGGCCCTCTTGGAGGCTTCTTGGACCGTCTTGGGGCGGTCTGGGGGGCCTTTTGGGCCGTCTGGGAGCGTCGGAAAGAATTTGGGAAAATTGTACGTTCTACGAAAGGGAACGGGCCAATGTTTGCGTCTAGGGACCCTCTTGGGACGCATCTTGGATGCCTCTTGGGGCCTCTTGGGGCATTTTGGGCCGCCTGGAGGCCATCTTCGGTGTCTTTGATCGCTCTTGGATTGTCTGGGACCATATTGAGCTCTCTTGGAGGCCATTTGGAACGCGCCTGGAGCGCTCTTGTGGCCGTCATCGGGGCCCTCTTGGGCCGTTTTGGACGCCTTTTGGGCCGTCTTGGGGCCCCCTTGGGCTATCTTGGGACCCTCTTGGAGGGGTCTTGGGGCGGTCTTGGGGGCCTCTTGGGCCGTCTTGGAGCATCGGAAAGCCCAGAAGGCGAATTTGTGAAACTTGCATGTTTTACAAAGAAAATGGGCACATTGTTGCGTCTAGGGACCCCTTTGGGACGCATATTGGAGGCCTCTTGGGGCCTCGTGGGGACCTGTTGGGCCGTCTAGGAGGCCTCTTAGCTTGTCTTTGGGCCATCTTGGGCGTCTTGGAGCGCTCGTTTGGCGTCTCGGGGCCCTCGTGGGCCGTCTTGGAGGCCTCTTGGGGCCTTCTTGGACCGTCGCGTGGGCCCGTTTGTGCGCTTTGGGCCCGTTTTGGGACCTTTTGCTCCCCCATGACGCGTTCGGCGGTGGGTGCCCCGGGGCCGGGGGGGGGGTCAAATCTCCGGTTCAGGGTCCCTGGGGGAGGTTATGGGGGGGAACTATTTCACACGCCTAGAGACCCACAAAGGGTTGGCGGATTGTCGTTCACTTGGGGTCGCAAGAGCGAGTGCCTTTCGCCACGTACGGCAGTTTTGCGCCGTGCTGACGCCGCTGCGACCCCAGCGCGGGAGCTCGAGGTTCAGCGCCACCAGTGGTTCGGAATCGGCCGATGTCGAATGAGCTGCGGTTCGTCCACGCGCAGTGGGGGGTAGTGGGAGGGGGGAAGGCTTTTTAGAAACACCCCTTCTTCTTAGAAGGCGCGGGCCTTGTCTAAAGATGTCAGGCCGGCGCCTTCCAGGAAGCAGCCTCTTTCTAAAAAGCCTTCCCCCCTCCCCCTACCCACTTGTGCGCGCCGCCGAGTGGCGTTGGGAAGCCGCGATCGTTCCAGCTTGAACGATCTACGCGGTGTCGGTCCAGCGTGAAAGATCCAGCACGCAGGTCGTTCCAAACAACACAACAGGTTCGTGTCGCAACGACCCGTGCGCAGACGACACGAACCTCAGGTTCGTGTCGCAACGACCTGTGCGCTGGTTTCTGCCTTGCGCCTTACGCCCAGAGGACTGTTCGGATCTGTGCCGCCGCCCAGCCTTGCCGAAGGGAAAGGGGGGGGCCCCAGGCTTCCGACGAAGGCCCAGACCAGTTTTCCGGGACCGGCTTTCCATCTCGAGCGGTAATTTTGTCGGTCCTGAGGCCGGGAAAGGTCACCAGTGGGTGTGGTGGGAAGAGCGAATTAATTAAAAGCGGCATCGTCTAATTACCCACGTCCGCAGGGCTAGCGGGGTTCTGCTCCGCCGCCCCGGTCCGCCCTCATCTCTCCGCCTTTGCTTTCCGTGGCTTGATCCTCTGCTCCTCTGTTGGGACGCGCAGAGTGGTTTTCCTCGCGAGCGCCATGCCACCGCTCTGACTAACCGATGCTGGGAGGAGAAGAAGGGTTACGATACCGCTCCCCTCCGTTTCGTGTTCCCTCTTGAGGCTCCTAGGGCGCGCTCGTCACCATGGCTGGATTTGCCTCGGAATTCTACTCAGGACTCACCAGGGTCTTAGAGGTATGGGTACCGAGATCTTTCTGTTCCCATCAGACCGAGGCGCCGTGGCTACTGGGGTGACCGAGGGTCGTGCTAAGCAGTTGCATAGGATAGAAGCACATATAACCTAACATATAACC